GTAAATTTTTTGACATAGGGTGCTGGCAGATTACGAGGCCTCCCATAGCTGCTGCCAGGCCCCAAATCTGCCATGAGGCCCCTGTACCGCCTTCTCATGCTCATGCTCTCATGAGGTCCCTGTACGGCCTCCACTGCTGCTGTCCTCCATCGCCACCACTCTGCCATGTGCCACTTTCAGGTCTCTCACACTGCTGAGGTGTGTTCCATTTTTGTCATAGGGTGCGGCAGGATTACGGGCCTCCCTATAGCTGCTGCCAGGCCCCTAATCTTCATGGCCCCTGTCCAGCTGCTCCCCAGCTGCTGCCAGGTCCATTGCGTGTCTCATGCCATGTGCCACTTTCATGGTCTCCTCCACACTGCTGGATGTGTTGCAATTTTTTGACATAGGGTGCTGGCAGATTACGGGCCTGTCCCATAGCTGCTGCCAGGCCCCTAATCTGCCATGGGCCCCTGTACCCGCCTCTTCATGCTGCTGCCTAGATTGCCAAGGTCCAGAGTCTGTCCATGGGTCCCCTGTAACAGGCCTCCCATTGCTGCTGTCTCACATCGCCACACTCTGCACCATGTGCCACTTTCAGGTCTCCTCACACACTGCTGTTTTTTTTATGGTGTTTTGGTATTATTAAAGGCTTTTCCATTTTTGTGTCATAGGGTTGCTGGGCAGATTACGGGCCTCCCATAGCTGCTGCCAGGCCCCTAATCTGCCATGGGCCCCTATTACCGCCTCCTCATGCTGCTGCCAAGGTCCAGTGGTGCTTCATGGGTCTCCTGTACGGCCTCCCATTGCTGCTGTCTCCATCGCCACACTCTGCCATGTGCCACTTTCAGGTCTCCTCACACACTGCTGGTGTGTTCAATTTTTTGACATAGGGTGCTGGCAGATTACGGGCCTCCCATAGCTGCTGCCAGGCCCCTAATCTGCCATGGGCCCCTGTACCGCCTCCTCATGCTGCTGCCAGGCCAGGTCCACAGTGTCTCATGCCATGTGCCACTTTCAGGTCTCCTCACACTGCTGGTGTGTTCCATTTTTTGTCATAGGGTGCTGGCAGATTACGGGCCTCCATAGCTGCTGCCAGGCCCCTAATCTGCCATGGGCCCCTATACCGCCTCCTCATGCTGCTGCCAGGTCCAGAGTCTCTCATGGGTCCCTGTACGGCCTCCCATTGCTGCTGTCTCCATCGCCACACTCTGCCATGTGCCACTTTCAGGTCTCCTCACACTGCTGGGTGTGTTCCATTTTTTGACATAGGGTGCTGGCAGATTACGGGCCTCCCATAGCTGCTGCCAGGCCCCTAATCTGCCATGGGCCCCTGTACCGCCTCCTCATGCTGCTGCCAGGTCCACAGTGTCCCCCTGAGCAGTCCATCGCTCACACACCCATTGCTGCTGTCCTCCATCGCCACACCATGCACCGCCTCCTCATGTGCCACTTTCAGGTCTCCTCACACTGCTGGTGTGTTGAATTTTTTGACATAGGGTGCTGGCAGATTACGGGCCTCCCATTGCTGCTGCCAGGCCCGTAATCTGCCATGGGCCCCGTACCGACTCCTCATGCTGTGACGTTGCAACAAGGTGGAATTCAACCCTACATATGTTAGACCGCCTTTACGAACAGCAAAAGGCCATCACAGATTTCCTGATGTTAAAAGCGGATAAAGGTACTCCTGTGTAACTTAGATGTCAGCCATTGGCAGCTCATGCGTGACACTTGCGCTTGCTCAGGCCCTTTGAGGAGGCCACGCTATTCGTGAGTCGGCAGGACTATGGGATGAACGACGTCATTCCTCTGTTGCGTCATGGAACAAATGCTGTTAACAATGGCTGGTCAGGGTGCGGTAGACGTGGCGCACAGATCTCAACGCCACATGACCCCTGTGGGGGCAGGACAGGAAGAAGAGGAGGAGGTAGAGGAGGACATTGGTGCTCAGGAATTATTGAGTGAAATGGGTGGTTTTTCCACTCAGCGGACAGGAATGGAGGAGCAGGAGCATCTGGTAGAGGAGGAGGAAGAGGAGACAGAGGACCCAGACGCACCGTGGCAGTATGCTGTGGAGATGGAGGCAGGGAGTCCCTCGCATTCCTTGGCACAAATGGCCCATAGCATGCTCGCTTGCTTGCGTACCGACAGCCGAATAATAACCATCAGACAGAGGGATGACTTTTGGCTGTCCACCTTGTTGGACCCTCGCTACCGTTCAAAAATGGTGGCCTTTTTCACACCTGCTGAGAGGGAGGCCAAAATAACGTACTATAAAAACCACCTATGTAGTCAGCTGGTCTCTGCCTTTCTGCGCCAACGTCCATCCTCAGACACTGTGGGCCCTGTGCGCTCGCGTTCCGCTGCCATGGCAGCAGGGGAGGGGTGGGGGTGGTAGGAGCAGTGGCAGCTCCACCAGCAGCAGCTGCCTCAGTCTGCAGTCGATGATGAGTAGCTTTCTTCACCAGCGCAGTGAGGAAACTACTAACCAGCCGCAGCAGCAGCAGCATCAGGTGGACCTGGAGCAGGACCTCAAACAACAGGCTTAGGCCTACTTGGACAGCACCCTGCCAACCGAGGTAGACAATCCCCTTGACTACTGGGCAACGAAACTTGAACTTTGGCCCCAACTAGCTGAATTTGCCCTTGAAAGGCTGTCATGCCCGGCCAGTAGCGTGGCATCAGAGCGCGCGTGTTTAGTGCGGCAGGAGGTATTGCAACTCCGCGGAGGACACGACTGTCCACACAAAGTGTGGAGAGACTCACGTTTGTGAAAATGAATCAGGCGTGGATTAGTCTGGATTTCAAACCACCAGTTCCTGACACAACTGACTAAATCCGCCATGAATCATGCCCCTGCCATGTGCCACTTTCAGGTCTCCTCACACACTGCTGGTGTGTTCCATTTTTTGTCATAGGGTGCTGGCAGATTACGGGCCTCCCATAGCTGCTGCCAGGCCCCTAATCTGCCATGGGCCCCTATACCGCCTCCTCATGCTGCTGCCAAGTCCAGAGTCTCTCATGGGTCCCTGTACAGCCTCCCATTGCTGCTGTCTCCATCGCCACACTCTGCCATGTGCCACTTTCAGGTCTCCTCACACTGCTGGTGGGTTCCATTTTTTGTCATAGGGTGCTGGCAGATTACGGGCCTCCCATAGCTGCTGCCAGGCCCCTAATCTGCCATGGGCCCCTATACCGCCTCCTCATGCTGCTGCCAGGTCCAGAGTCTCTCATGGGTCCCTGTACGGCCTCCCATTGCTGCTGTCTCCATCGCCACACTCTGCCATGTGCCACTTTCAGGTCTCCTCACACTGCTCAGCGGTGGGTTCCATTTTTTGTCATAGGGGTGCTGGCAGATTACGGGCCTCCCATAGCTGCTGCCAGGCCCCTAATCTGCCATGGGCCCCCGTACCGACTCCTCATGCTGCTGCCAGGCCCGTAATCTGTCATGGGCCCCTGTTGTCGCTTGTTGGCATATTCCGCTCGTTCAGATGCTCCTTCTCCTGCTACTCCTCTTCACGGATTCCGTCAGCAGTCTTTCTTGGAATCCGTTTCCAAGAGACAACAGTTTGCGAGCACGCACCCGACGGTGCAGAAGCTGAACGTCCTCCTGTCCAAGTTGCTGCTGCCAGGCTCGTAATCTGTCATGCGCCCCTGTACCGCCTCCTCATGCTGCTGCCAGGTCCAGAGTGTGTCATGGGCCCCCGTACCGACTCCTCATAGCTGCTGCCAGGCCCGTAATCTGTCATGGACCCCTGTACCACCTCCCCATGCTGCTGCCAGGTCCAGAGTGTGTCATGGGTCCCTGTACGGCCTCCCATTGCTGCTGCCAGGCCCGTAATCTGCCATGGGCCCCCGTACCGACTCCTCATGCTGCTGCCAGGCCCGTAATCTGTCATGGGCCCCTGTACCGCCTCGCCTCATGCTGCTGCCAGGTCCAGAGTGTGTCATGGGTCCCTGTACGGCCTCCCATTGCTGCTGTCTCCATCGCCACACTCTGCCATGTGCCACTTTCAGGTCTCCTCACACTGCTGGTGGTTTCCATTTTTGTCATAGGGTGCTGTATGGCCTCCCATTGCTGCTGCCCTCCACCGCCACACTGTGGCTCCACACTCTGGTTTTGGCCCCGTGACTGCCCAAATGAGTGAAGTGTGCGGTGATTTCTAAGATCGACGGCACTCATCTGCATGTCATACTGACTGTCAGTATTATTTCTCTTCCCCAGCAGACTCCAAGGGCATTTAAATTAAAGGTACAGTGTTCTGCACTAATATAAAGTCTCTCTCTGAAGCCTAGAAACACCCTTTTATAAGTTAAATTCGCAGCGAATATATTCGACTCGAATCAAAATTTTTCCACGAATTCGCAAATCAGTCGAATCGAATTTTTGAATACTTCGCTCATCTCTACTTATTATGTTAGAACCAGTATCTGAAAGTGAAGGATATTTAAGGGCAAACCATCTAATCTTAATGCTATACAATGTCAAAGCTGAACTTACTCTGGCTGGCATTGCAAACACACAATTAGATTAACAGAACTCACATTCCTAAGTATTGTGGTCCAGTCTGAAACCATGCAGTCAAGTTTAATTTATAGATGTTCTCTGTCATGAATGACTTACTGTAAAATTGAAAAGACTTTGTACATTAATGGTTACCAAAAGGACACTTGTTGCTTTTCAGAAATGCAGAACAGTTTTGTAGTATCACACAATGGAATAAATCAATTAAAAAATACATGGTATTTGTTTGGAAGCTGCAAAGCTCTTATACCTTTTTGTTAAGCAGCTAAATTGATTTTATTTAGCTGCATTAATTGAACAGATTACTTTAAGAATAGCATTCACTTTATTTAAAAATGTATTATAGAGCATAATGTCCCCTCAAGTGCTATGATACATATTTGCTCATCATTCAATTTTGTCTAAATTAAATTTGAAGAAAACAAATATTTACTAAGTAAATCTCTAAGTTGATGACAAATAAACTATTCTTTTAAAGCAATAAAAGAAACATGTATTTGTGAAAACGATTTCATAAGAACAGAAAGCATTCATTCATTTTATAAACAAGACTGTTAGGCATTTTATTAAAGGAGAAATATGATCATATCTATGATTTATAAAAACACATATCCCCTGAAACATTTTGTAAATATCTGTTAATCCTTCCACTAGTACCATGGGGAAGGTGCTATGTTTGTAAGGGTGACAAGGCATGCCCTTCTACAGTGAAATTGCTACAGCCCTGTCAACCTTGCTTCTGCTGTAGCTGCTTAGGTGTTAACACTAAGGATGAACTTAGGGCTGTCCAGGTGATTTTCTGAATGCCAGGCTTTTAGCTCATTTGGCAGATGCAAACATCCTATATAGTAGTGATTTTTCTACTGCTCTCTTCTGTGACAGCTATGCATCTGTCCATAGTCACTAAGGAAGTGGTGTACGTCAGAACCTTCTGTGTCCTTAGCTAACAGTGACACCACCCAGCTCCATTCATTTACTGGCCAGGAATCTCTGGCCATGTAAACAAAGTTCTGGAAATAACATGACATCACTGACTAAATATGGCCACATGGCCATATTTGCACAACAACATTAAAAAAAATGGTTGTGGCCATATATGGTCAAGGACATCACCTTGAAGAGCTTTGCCTCTCATTTACTATTACTGGTGGGGCCCAGGAGAAGTAATTTGTGCTATTCAGCGAAAGGGTCAAACACATCTATCAGTTGGTAGGAACATTCATCAAGATTGACCTACATCTGAACTGCTGTTTACATTTCTTTTGTAAATCAGAAGGGGTACTAATGTATGTACTACTATTCACCACTTAGGCTGGTTATACATAAGTAATTTTCTTTTGTTCAACCTGCTTGCTGAATGAATGAAAGTGACTCAATTCCCCCATCCACACACTCAATATGGGGGAATCCCTTCCACTGAGCTATTCTATTCTATAGCTATAGTCAGTGGTACTGATCGATAGAAAAAGTTCCAACTGGGTGTTTCTACACAAGTCGATTGATAGATTGACTTTTGTACAACCAGCCTGCCCATACATGGATTGAAAATTCAGCTGGTTGTTACTCATTCACATAGGGAAGAGGCATAATCTGGGTCACCCTTATTGTTAAAGGGGACTTCCAGATTCTGCTAGGCCCCTGCACACAGACACCCACAACCACCAGCCTAGGATTGTGGGGAAGAGGCCCTTGTCCTCATTAACATGAGTACAAGGTGTATTGCAGTACTTTGCCAGGAGAACC